ACGACAGTCGTGTAGAGAAAAAAAAGTTGATTTTTGTACGACTCTCACTGTATCATCTGTAACCTGACAACGTACCGAGATTTTGTGCTAAGCTTTGCGTACAGACGATACRTACTGTAATATTCTGCAASTGTGAATGTACCGTACGTGCAGGCCTGCGCAATTATTGTCCACTTCATCGACTACTCGTAACCAAATTCGTTTCAGATTTTCTTCACGACCTGGAAAAATCTACCAGTACTTCCTAATACCGTATGGTCAAGTACCAGTACTAGGAAGGCAAATGTGTGGACCGAATCTGAGACAGATTATGAATACAAGAAAACAGCGCAGTTCTTACTAGTCAGGAAACAAACATCTGCCAACCGACCCAGAGGAACACTGGTGACAAAGCCACAGAACGTTAACAGTGAGGTTCATAAGGAGGAAATGTTGCTCAACAAAGCACTGCCAGCCATCTATCAGAAGAACAAGTGGCCAACAAGAGGATCTACTACTAGTAATCTTGATGTCTGTCTTACCACGGTAATTATCCAAGAAGACAATGCTAAACCCCACAAGGCAAGTATTAGTGATGCAGTTGAAGCAGCAGCAAGGGAGGGTTGGAATATTTCTGTTAAAACTCAACCACCAAAGAACAGTCCTGATTTGAACATTATGGATCTTGGTTTTTAAATTCAATCCAAAACTTGCAATACAAGAAGTATTTGAAGGATATTGATCATTTGATTTGGGAACTTTGAGAAAGTTTTTGATGAGTACAAACAAGAGATGCTGAATAATATGTTCTTATTGCTCCAGGCTTGTATGAAAGCATCTCTTGGTGTTGTGGGTGATAACAATTACAAGCTGCTGCATATAGTGGGGAATGCAAATCTCTTGCGTGATGGTTGTTCTCTCCCAATCTCAATTGAATGCAATCAAAATTGAGTGCTGGAAGGGTAACAACTCCTTGCCATAGCTGCAGAGGGAGTCCAGCAGCAGCAGTAGTTGTAATAGTCAGAATAATATTAATAGTAGCAAGTATAAGTGTGTGGTACTAGTTGTACATAATCCTACATGATAACTGTAACTGGGAACTTCTTTTACTAGGACTGCTCAAAATGAAAAAAAAAAATCTTAATATTATATTTAACCTCGTGAACTAGAAGAGGCACTAGGAAGGCCAGAACCATAGCTTCACCTGACTAAGGAGAAGAATGCTCCTAGCTGCACCGAGGCGCGGCGCCTCCCTCCGAGGAGTGTTTATGGAGGAGCGACCAAGTTTTATGCACACTGATAGGCCAATCAAGGCCCAGGGCTCGACTCAGAGGACGTAAAACAATAGGATCACACTGCCAAGCCCGTAGGATGGGGGGGCCTCAATCCCCAACCCGTAGGCAAGTTATCACATGCAGTGATCAAGGGTCACACTGCCAAGCCTGTAGGATGGGGCTACCAATCCCATCCATAGGCAAGGTATCACACGCAGTGATCAAGTAGATGGTGGTTCACAGTTTGGATGGATGAGAACCATGCCATTACCATTTCGAAGGAGCACTGCCAAGCCCGTAGGTTGGGGGGTCTCAATTCCCAAACTGTAGGCAAGTTCCCACGCATAGTGATCAACGAAATGGGTGCCACGCACACTGGCAAGCCAATTAAGGCAAGTTCCGACCAGTGTGTGAGGGCACATGTAGTCAAAAAGAAAAATCAAAAGAAAAAAAAAAAAAGAAAATCCAAAAAGAAAAAGAAAAAAGGAAACATCACACTTCTTTCACCGGGTCTTGGTTGAATGGGGCGATACTGGGGTTGGTGCTGTTGGCTTCCGGCATGTATGTCGGACACAACAGCAATCATGACTGGAAACACGGGGGCTTCCAGTCCTTGAGAACTGAGGATGGTGGATCCAGCTGAGGTAAAGCACTCAGCCGGAGTAACTGGGGTTGGTGCTGTTGGCTTCCGGCATGTATGTCGGAAACAACAGCAATCGTGACTGGAAACACGGACACAAGGGCTTCCAGTCCTGGAGAACTGGGGATGGATCCAGCTGAGGCAAGGCACTCAGCTGGAGTAACTGGGGTTGAAGTTATTGCATTCCGGTACGAATGCTGGAAACAGCAACGTCGTGGCCGGAATCTTCTTCCGGTCCGTAAAATACTGAAAAAGGAACTGCATGGAGATGTTGGGGAATCTGTTTGAAACTGAGTATGATGTATGATATGGCATATACTCCAGGCTTGTTCTTCACTAGGTCTTGGTTGAATACTGGGGGATGGGGTTGGTGTTATTGCAGTCCGGCACAAATGCCGGAAACAACAACGTCGTGACCGGAATCTTCTTCCAGTCTGTAAAATACTGGAAATGGAACTGCATGGAGATGCTGGGGAATCTTCTTGAAAAACTGAGTATGATGGATGATATAGCATATACTCCACGCTTTGTTCTTCACTAGGTCTTGGTTGAATACTGGGGGCTGGGGTTGGTGTTATTGCATTCCGGCACGAATGCCGGAAACAACAACGTCGTGACCGGAATCTTCTTCCGGTCAATAAATTACTGGAAATAGAACTGCATGGAGATGCTGGGAATCTTCTTTAAACTGAGTATGATGTATGATATGGCATATACTCCAGGCTTGTTCTTCACTAGGTCTTGGTTGAATACTGGGTGATGGGGTTGGTGTTATTGCAGTCCAGCACGAATACCGGAAACAACAACGTCGTGACCGGAATCTTCTTCCGGTCCGTAAAATACTGGAAATGGAACTGCCTGGAGATGCTGGGCAATCTTCTTGAAAAACTGAGTATGATGGATGATATAGCATATACTCAGGCTGGTTCTTCACTAGGTCTTGGTTGAATACTGGGGGATGGGGTTGGTGTTATTGTTTTCCGGCACGGATGCCGGAAACAACAACATCAACATCTTGACCGGAATCTTCTTCCGGTCCGTAAAATACTGGAAAATGAACTGCATGGAGATGCTGGGGAATCTTCTTTAAACTGCTGTGTATGATGTATGATGTAGCATATACTCCACGCTTTGTTCTTCACTAGGTCTTGGTTGAATACTGGGGGCTGGGGTTGGTGTTGTTGCATTCCGACACAAATGCCGGAAACAACAACATCAACATCTTGACCGGAATCTTCTTCCGGTCCGTAAAATACTGGAACTGCATGGGGATGCTGGGGAATCTTCTTTAAACTGCTGAGTATGATGTATGATGTAGCATATACTCCATGCTTTGTTCTTCACTAGGTCTTGGTTGAATACTGGGGGCTGGGGTTGGTGTTGTTGCATTCTGACACAAATGCCGGAAACAACAACATCAACATCGTGACCGGAATCTTCTTCCGGTCCGTAAAATACTGGAACTGCATGGGGATGCTGGGGAATCTTCTTTAAACTGAGTATGATGTATGATTTAGCATATACTCCAGGCTTGTTCTGCACTAGGTCTTGGTTGAATACTGGCTGGGGTTGATGTTATTGCATTCCGGCACGAGTCGGAAACAACATCAACTTCAACACCGGAAGATACCACTCGGTGCTTCCGGAGGAACATGGGATCCAGCTGGGGCAAACTAACACCACCAGCTGGTGGATATCGATATACTTGGAATAGGCTTGGTTACATTGCTTGGATCCTTGTAGAATGGAGCCAAGGGGGAGGATTCTCCCCTTCCAAAGGGGATGTCACCATGGTTCGGAAGTCAGAAGGAGCCTGTCAGGTAGGAATGTATGTAGGAATCAGTAGGAATTCTAGGTGATAATTTTCATAAGCGAAGTGTAATTCCGTGCGTTTGAAAAAGTTCGATTTGAAAATTATAGGACTGCTCAAAATGGTCACATGAGACATGTATTCTGGTCCAGAGGAAGTAGTACAATAGAATGTGTTAAAGTAACCATAAAAAACTTACAACACCCTAGGAAAAGTCATTCTACTCGAGGCAAGAAAATTATTACCTCCTCTGGTCCTATGAGTGTCACATAACTAGTAGTACTAATATTTGCTGGTCCTGAAAGAAGAGTGTCCCCCACTCTACTCAAAACTTTTTTCTTTTGTGAGTATAACTCTACAAATGACTGTGTAGAATATGTGGTATAAACAGCACTATAGACTAACAAAATTGCTGTGCATGCATGTGAATAAAAAATAATTTGTTTTTCACACATGAAAAAGTACTCTACTATTACTACGAACATGATAGCAAACTAAAGTTTGCATTCTTCACAAAGGTAATGGGTGCCTCTTTTGAATGAAAATGACCAATAAGAAAGTTTGTCTCAATCACATAAATAACTTATAGCCTCAGAAAATGCATTATGCTCCTCATTACTATCATTAATGGCAAATGAATTACTATAAGAGTTTTGCTTCTTTCCTGAAATACTAGTATATATCCTCCTTGTACAACAATGTCCATGTCACCCCCACAACTTCATCATTTTGGCTCTGTTGATGAGATCATTGGGTAGGTCCCTGAACCTTTTTGAAATATCAACATGAGCACAACTTGAGGTTCCAATTCAGCCACCAGTAGCATAATTCTACACTCCTCCCTGAACCATTCCCTCATTTGTTGTTCTATCAACTTCAATCCTGTTTGGGGATCCTTTTGTACTTCTTTCATTTCAGTGCACAACAGGTGATACAAAAACTTCCCCTAGGGTCCCACCTGTCTTTTCTTCCAGCTTTTGG